GCCCACATATTGCCCCTTGAAGTTGGCCAATTGATGTCTGCTACCGGGGAATTGTGTTGTACTTGTGACAAGCTGTCTTGTGCAAAAAAATTGTGAACACTATCTCCAAATTCATTGCCAGGCATAGATGATTCTCCAGAACCTTTGACTGTAAAATTTTGCAACTGAATCTTCTAATACTTGGCATTACAATCAATGTACTACTCGGAACATATACATAGTCACTTTGGATAACTATTTTGAGCTGTCTGTCTTGAAACTCCTGCAAGAAGATCATTCAAGTTTTAATTAAGAGTTGCAAAATCATGTTGTAAGTGCCACATTGTCAGGTTCTTCGTGATATTATTTCAGATGAAAAAGTGGTCTGATGCAAGAATAGAGCATTAGCATTGATGAACTACTTACATGCATAAGCTATATAAACTACAAAAAGATAAATCATAAGGAATAAGTGCAGGTATTGAAGCTCAACACTAACCTTCCGCACAAATCAAAGAAACGACCTAAACGGATGAAAAAGAAGACATGATATAAACAAAAGAAAGAAGAATTGGAAACGATCCAAGATTGAATCAATATAAAGCATTTAAATGAGACTACCAAGAGCAATAGACCATCTAAATTTCAAGGCAACTTTTCAAAAGAAAAAAATATCCTCTCCCCCAGTGTACCACACAAAGGGAAGAGATGGAAATATGTGCAACAACTATTATTCTTTTTTCTTTTTTTTTTGTGTGTGTGTAGGTGGGGGGGTGGGGGGTTATATTTTAGCAATAATCAGATGATACGTTCACAAAGTCACATCTAACAAAGACACAAGATTTCAATCGGAATTGTGGTAGATAGAAGAGAACACACGGGGCACGGAACGTGGCTCCATTTGCACTTATGTAAGTTATTCAGAGAGCAACAAATATGAGAGACTTTGAAGGGATAGAAATGAATCTTTTAAGATTAGGAAGCAGCATTTTACCCCTTATTTGTTTTTGGTGCACCAAGAAGTTCTTCTTTGTATTGACAACTGGGTATTGTTCTTGGAGAACCATATTTCTATGTAGGTCTCTACTTTTTGGTATACCTCATGTATACGGCTTTCTATGCCCAAACTTTTTCAAAAAAACAAAAGATGCAAGTCGCACACATACAGAGGAAAAAATAGAAGGTTGCCTGAAAGGGCAGACCATATCTAATGCAAACATTCAAATGCACCGTCTCTTAGTGTTATAAAAAATGATGATTGAAGATGTTAAAAGAGGACGATGTAACCCTAAAAATACATGGAGCAATATTGTCCTAATAACCTACATCCTCTAGAAATCAATAAATGGATAATAAAGTGAAAAACAGAGCACAATGAAGCAAATAAGGTTCAGACATTATTGGTCCACTTACATAGTTTGGTATTTGACATAGTGTATTTAATCAGTTAAGAATTCTATGTCATCGCATGGTCAAGTGTGACATTGAGAATCAGAATTGAACCAGCTTAAAGGGGTAAGTGGTTACTGTTGATTAGTATAGTCAAACCAACAAGTTTGAGATTAAGGCATAATAATAATTGTCTGTTGTGTCTTCGAGATAGATTTTGCCTGCCAAAGACTAGAAACTCTTCCAGACACAGTCAAAGGCAGGCCATCAGGATTGATAGGATAAATTCTCTCAATATGGCAGTAGTGGGGAATCAAAACTTGGACCTAACATACAAATCAATGCTTACTTTCCTTTGGAGTTAGATCTACAATTCCATACAATGGAAGGACTAGTATGTTGGTTTCAGGAGCTTTAGCTTGACTAGCTTAGTAAAGAATGCATTTCTGCACATGATCTCAAAATGTCCCTATGCAAACTAGTGGCATACATCAGGACACCTACAGAACACATCACAGGTCAAGTTGAAAACTAATTCTCATGATTAATAAATTTGTGATGCTTGTTCTTGTTTAACATGGTCATGTGGTCCCAGTAAATTTAATGACTTAACATTATAAAATTATTGCTCATGTGACCGCTTTATTTTGCCTTATAAGGAAGTCAAATCCCTAGTTACAATTATCAAAAAAAAGGAAGTCAAATCCCTAATCACAATTAGAACATCACACTATACTGCTCTTATCATAAGGTGCTACCCTCTCATCAAGACCCTACAACTAATTCATTGTTGCCCTTTCAACTATCTTCACTCCTGCAACAACTCATTTCTACTGCAGAACATTTAGATCACCTTCTTAATCTGTGAAAAGTTTACAGGGAATAAACCTATTTGAATTTATAATGCTAAACGGTAATTGCAACTTATTCCATATTGTGGTGGTTGAGTAGCTTAATGTTTTCATTTGGCCCTGTTGACACTTGAGCCACCATAGTAATATAACTTGCTTAACTAGAATTGTATGGAAGAACTATCAGCAACAGGCAATCCCAACTACTCACGCTAACAATACAGTTAAACAGGATCCACCACATATCGTCTTAAGAAGAAGAAAAAGCATGGTCTTTATTCCACTAGATCCGAGATACCACAAAACAACTATCATCTAAACTAGCTGACTGATATCTCATTTAGGGGATAAAAAATGAATGACTTGAAGCTATCAAAGGATCATATGAAGGCGATAATTCAAAGATGACGGCAAATGCAAATCTGGTTCCTGATTTGCAGAGGTGGTGCTTTGTGAGGAACTATCTATTTTCATGTTTTTTCTTGGGATTTAGAGAAGGAAACACAGAAGTTAAGAGTAAAAATGTCCATATTAACTTGGGTTGACACCAAATCAACACAAATCAGTATTTTGCTAAGGTGCCTTGACAAATACGTATGGAAGTAGGACAAAGTGAAAATGTATCCCATAATGAATCATTGATAAGAAATGGCAAATCTGAAATTTCATCCCACCAACAGCAATAACCAGATGCTGAATAATTCAATGACAAAAGATCTAAATGAAGAACTAAGTAATACAGAAGACGCAGCAAAGTCACAAGTTCATAAGGAAGACAATGTTGTGAGGTTCATGTTTTAACAGCTGCTAAACTAAATCAAGCACTCAACCAGATAGCAGATTCCAATGTGATCTTGAGTTGGACTCTAAGGAGGAGATGTTAGGATCAAGTGCTCACCATCATGCCAAAAGTTATAGCTTATAGCAAAGGTGCAACATTATTTCTTAACTAAGTCCACCAGAAAAGAGTCATGCTTGATCATGACTCCGACACGGGCCACCCAACCCCTCATGGGCCTTGCCACAGGCAAGATGTTGACATTACCCAACAATCCCCTCCCAACACCTGCCTCATGCAGAATGTAGCTCTTGGGAATCGAATCCACGACCTTGGCCCTGATATCACTTGTTAGGATGAAGTGCTTACCATTATGCCAAAAGTTATAGCTTATAGCAAAAGGGGCAACTTTATTTCTTAACTAAGTCCACCAAGCAAGCGTCATGTTCGATCATAACTCTGACCCGGGCCACCCAGCCCCTCGTAGGCCTTGCCATAGGCAAGATGTAGGCTTTACCCAACAATAGGGAGTGCGAGACTTGGCACTTCCGTGGAAAATTTCCAATAGCTTTTAGTAGGGTTGACAAAAACTTGGTACATACTCATCGAACTTCCTTGTTTACTTTGAAAACTTTTGAAACCATACTAGCATGAACAACAGGTTGCTCTTCTTTGCACCCAAAGCCCCAGGTTGTGTCCTAGCAGTCAATAGGGTGGATGAAAACCATTGGAGACAGCAAAAATCCCATCGGAGACGAAAAACTGTAGGTGATTTTTTTCCAGCTCCCTATTCCTCGATGGACAGAGCTACCCGGTACAGTGTTGGTGGTAGCAAGTACGCCGTGGAATATTCATGATGTGTGCAATATGGCCCATACACCACCATTGTAAAAAAATGTTTATACTTCTTTAAAAGATAACTTTGTCATATCCCTGTATATAGGGTTTTCCTTTTACAGAAGTACAATTCAAAAGGTAATTCCACTAAAAGTACAAGGTTAAAGAAACCACATTTCTGAAATCATAATACGAAATAAAGCATTTGTACTGCAAAGTGAAAGACTTAAAGTTTTCTTTACTCCCAACAATAAAAATGCCAGAATTGCTTGAAAGAGATCGATAAGAGATTGCCGCAATAATTGTAGTACCAATTGTGAAGCCTTTTCACAGAAACAAGTAGTCTATTGCCACCTACTACATGGCAAGAGAAAAACTAGATCGGCTATAACAACATACCCAGTGTAATCCCACAAGTGAGGTCTGGCGAGGGTGGTGTGTATGCAGTTATAAAAGTAATTAAAACACAAGATAAAACAAAAATAAGTAGCATTCAAGTTGTCCTCATGTAAGGAAGAGGGGAAAAGGTGTTGTCATCTATCTCAAACTGTCAAAGATTGTAAAAGAAGGACCAAGAATGCAGGCAGAAACGATTCCACAGTAGAATAAAGTGCTACAAAATGGGACTTCGAAAATAATGAAGGAGGAGTGAGGAACCACCAAAGAATCTTTTCCAGACAATGCTGCTTCATTAGCATTGATAATTATTATCTATGCTTACTTTAAAAGTCTTGCTGCAACTAAAACAAGGCCTTGAAACAGACAAAAGGCAGGTTTCCAAAGCCATATCTGGATGGTTTACAAGCCAATCAGTCTTCCTGTTTGGTTTAAAATCAAACCTATATCCACAAAATGTTTGGTTTTAAAACCACTGGTTGAAGCTAGAGATGGAATTGCATCGATTATATACAAGAGGAGACAATGAACAAAAATGACACCATACATCCAATTGTTGTTGAAGGCAATACTGATGGAAATCATCATAAAATATTGCAAAATTTTCCCCATATGTTGCAATTCCTTCTTATTCTTGCCATCATAAAAAAAGAACCCAAATCTTGGGAGAACTTATGCAAAAAGAGCAATGCGTGATCATAGAGCTTTAAAGAAGGGTATCCTACAGCCAAGGACTCTTATTACTGGAGAAGAAGAGAGTATCAGTCTGGATACGTAAAATGGTGCAGAAATCAAAATATGTACATCAACAACTCTCACTCTCCATCAAATGAATCAGGAAAATAGTCTCCAGCAGGTTCCATATTCATGTCCAACATAATAAGATTCTTCATGCTCTTTTCCTTGTGTATAACACGGACAGAGAATAGTTTACTAACCTCAATATAGTTCACCTCCAGACATCGCAAAATCAATGAAGTCTGAGTCGTCTTTATCCACTTCGTAACAATACATATATTGCCAAATCTTCTGGGACCACCATCTGCCTGAAAATAATCCCCACACTTGACAATCTGCATTGCATTTTTCATAAAGAGGAAAAGATGAAATAGTCAAAATGACGCAATCACCAACCTAATCACTTACAAATGAAGTAAAAACCAACTAGAATAAATGCTTAAATTCGTTCAGAGGTTAACAGGTGATACAGGGTGATTGAAAGGAGACTAGTAGCCTCTCTCTTTGTGTGAAGAGTTGAAAATAATCCAGAATAAAGGTCATGAAATAAGGTCTCTTAGTTTCCTTTTTTCCATTTGGCCCGGGAAATTGTTTCTCAGCTACTCGGGTTTTAGGAAGATAGAAGGGAAAGAAGAACTTATTAAGTCCAAATTCCAATCCTAGAATAACCGCCAAGCCTTTGCATGTTAAACTTTGCTAATCCTTCTGCAGTTCAAATAACCAACAAAATCCAAGTATAACAGTTTTGAAACTAGAGAAAGACCACAAAAATAAATAAACAATCTGACAAGCTTATAAGAAGGGAAATCTAGGGCTTTTTCCCACGATGGAATATGAACTGCAATTGGAACCTTCCCCAACAGAAGCTGATTTTCTGCAAAAGTTATTCACCTACAAGCTTTATATTCCTCACAAGCTAGTGATCACATAATATCTTTAAGCACCACACTAGAAGTCTACTTATACCAACTCCATCAAAATATGCCCAAGCTCTGAAATAGTCCATAGGAAAAACATTCCCTACTCAGAAAATGACTAGCAGAAAGATTGACAGTGATGACTATATCAAATTCCAACAGACCTTACGAGATGGCTAAGATTTTTTTTCTCTACTGTTTCTTTTCCCCACCCTATCTCACCACTCAAAATATAGAAGAGTACATAGTAAGGGGCAAAGTATCTCAAGCAAAAATGCAAAAACGGTATCAAAGGTTCAGTTGCACCTTTCTGAAAGTATGAAAAATGCTAGATCTAATTACAATGGAGGATGAAAATCAAGAGATGAAAAAGGCAGAAAGGTTAGAATTTTACCTAGGTAGCAAATTTTGGATCAGAAGCCTTGTCACAAAAAATCTCAATTTTTTTCTTTCTGTCAGATGACAGAACAAGGATGTCTTGTCTTGTTAACATTACAATGCTTACCTGGTAATTTAAACAGTTGAATACCTTGTAGTTGTCAAACAATTGTGTAAGCATCACAATCACAGGACAGCGATGCTGGATTATCATTTCCCAGAAGTCTTCAAAAGTGTGCTGTAGCGGACCTTGTGTTGCAATAAACTGAGACACATCTTCGGATATCTACAACAAAAAGGAGCACTATAATGCTCATGAAGCAGATTGGTGGAAGAGAGCTTGACATTTTCCAAGAGAGTATGGAGAGAAAGTAGCATGGTTAACTAATTTCAAGTAATGGATGTACAAGTCTACCTTAATGAAGCTTGCATTTATATATCCTCTAGCTGGTGGGTCCAAAACAACCCTGTTATTGTCAACTGAGAAGAATGAAGCTTGATATAATTATTCACAGGTTATAATACACAACTTCAACATCAAACGAAGAATTAATAGAAACTGATCTGCATACATGGCAGAACATCAGTGTATCGATTTTTGCTAATGTTTGTGCTGTTCAAAGCCATTGAGCATCTACTCTTCATTTCTGAAGCTCTCATCCTAGTTGCCTGAGTCATAAGAGGTGTTCTTGGAATTCAGGATAATATCATGCTACTTGCAGAAAGACGAGATCTCAACAAATAAATAACAAACAAGCAAAACAAACAACATCATGCAACAACAATTTTCTCAAGACATAAGAGAGTTGTCCTTTGACATAAATTTAGCTCATTTTAAGTGGAGCCACCACCACCAGCATCCACCCGAAACATCATAAAAAAGATGCTCGGATTTTTTTTTTGGATAACTAGATTTAAATGAGAGCGGGAAACAATACATAAATGAACTCAATCATCAAAGAAGCTGCTCAATATTTTCCTAAAACTATCGAAAGGTGTTATTTTGCTTCATACAGACACTTAAGAGTTAAGACCACCTAACTCCCAATATGACTCCATTTAATATGTTCCAATGAATTTGTTGTTTGAAGCATTCAAACTAACGCAATTTGTCCAAGAATGGAACCACCTATGCGAAGAAGAAAAGTTGAGAAGTCCAATGACGATAGCAATTCATTCTTAGCATAAAAAGACTTGGTTTTTTTAATTAATATATGATAATATGACTGTGAATATCCAACTAAAAATCAAGTAATCACCACACTTCAATCAACTCCACCATATTCCCTAACTAGTTGAACTTGGAGTATGAATACTTTATATCCATCTCACTCTATTTGGATCCATCTCATACATCCCAAATTCAACATTTCGGGTGTGTTTGGTATGAAGGAAATAGTTTTCCAGGAAATAAGTGGATTTGTAACTTATTTTCTTGTGTATAGTACTTAGCAAAATATACTATACTAAAAGCATTTGTATATAATATAGACTAATACTATGGGAGGAGGAGGTAAAGATGAGGTGTGTTGGAGGTTTGGGAGGATACAATCAATATGAAATGCTACTTGTAGACCATCTATTTCTACACTGCAAATACACCCGGCAGCTTTGGAGGATTTTCTTGAGCCTTAAAGGCATATCCTGGACTATGCCTAGGAGAGTTACTGAGGCCTTGTACAGCTGGGAGGAGGCAGGTGCCCTTGCAAAAGACAGAACTAGATGGAGAATTATCCCTGCTTCAATATGGTGGGCAATCTGGAAAGAAAGGAATTCCAGATGTTTTGAAGGCATAGAAAATAGTGTGCAGGATGTTAAACTAAACTGCATTTTGTTGTTATGTTTTTGGTGTAATCAATTATACTCAAATGACACTGTCTCTATAGTTGATGTTCTAGACTCAATATAGAAATAGAGTAGGAGTGTCTAGAGTGCATCTGTATATAAGGTTTGAGTACAACCCATGTACTTTTGTGATATAATACATCGTTACCATTTTCAAAAAAAGAAGTACAATTATTTTATCGAAAAAGTGGCTTTTGATCCTTAATTCAATAAACTTGGCAGTAGTTCACTTGTAATCTATTCCTAGTGACAAAAGCGACAACAGTCCGCATTCTATTGTCACCTGAGAAACTTTACATAGCCAGAATACATACTTCTAGTTTCAGTTGATAAACTTGATAGAAAATTAACTCAGAAACGAATAGCCAAGTCATTTCGACAATAATATTCCCAGGAGACAGCTACGTTTGGTGGAAACATTAGCAAACAGTTTTTAGCACCTTTTGTTCTTTGAAATGGTAAGTATTATGGATGTCAAAGTATAACAGAATTTTCTGGAAAAGTAACTATCTTTAAGCTATCAAAAGAAGTTCCAAAGATGGATCTAATACTTGATTCCCACTTAAACCTACAGATTAGTGCTAATCGTACACTCACATTGCACTCATTTGGAACAATCTTGCTCATCACAGTCTGCACAAAAAACATATAAAAATTCTAAATTGTAGGTTAGAGAATTTAAGTATAAAAAGACATCATTTTAAACAACTGTATGCGTTATCTGAAAAATACTCAGCTAGCATCATAATACATAGATTTACTCAATCAAGAACAAAGCTGATAGGAAAAGCTGTCTAATTCACTGTACTCGGGAAGGAAAAAGACAATAACCAGAAAAAATCGAGTCCAACTAAAAACAGTGCATTTTCACAGATATGGAGAAAATTAGGGCTCTTCATAAGATATTGAAGAAAATTGTTAACAAAGCTTACCTAAATGTCGAGTCTATTAGCCAATGGAGCTCGGAATCGGCCGTTCGGTTATCGGAATTCTAGGGTTTTGAATCGGCGATAGATATTGCGGTGCTGTTAGAGAGAAAGAGCGAGAGAGAAATGGAAGAGCCCGTAGAGAGATAAAGTAATCGAAATAAGATTTTAACTGAAATAGTCCCTAAATTTTAAGGGATAGTTTAACTGGGTCCTTGAATATTTCCATTGAGCATAATGTATGCTTCAAGTTTACCATTTTGCTGCACTTTGGTCCTTCATTAACTGCCAAAGCCAAACGGTAGTTGATATGCTTAACGGACATTAGGTCACGTGCATGGTTAAAACGTACCCCGTAGCAGATGTTTGTCTCAATATTATTTATTTATTTATCAAAATAAAATAAAGTATGTGTTTGCACATTTTTTTAAAAAATAGTATACATATAATTAAATAAGTATAAATTTTTATATACTGAATCACATTGGTATGATGAATTGATTAGATTTTTTACTAAAATAGATTGAGAGTGTTTGGATCAATTTTTTATTTTTGATTAGTAAATCAAAAGTCAGAAGTTTGTATTTTTAATATATGACCTTTGATTTATTTTTAGCATTTTAGCTTAAAAATAAGTGTTTTTAAATATTTTTTATTTTATCCAAACATTCTAAAAATATTTTAAAATTATCTTAACTTAAAAACACTTAAACTAAGTCAATCCAAATGAGCTTTAATCTGAAAAATAGCCAAGGTACTCATATCAATTTATGGAATCAACCTTGACTAGTGTTAAATTTATAACTATGCAAAATGATTCAAGGTCCTCTATGATAATCTGATTTACAGATTTTTGTTATCGATATTAACAAATATATTTATAGTTTCACTTTAATGTCTTTTATAATTTTTATAAAAATTCAAAGTTACATTCAAAAAATTTACCTAAATCGTTATGTTAGCTTCGATAAAAACACTATTAAAATTTATTATTATTACTTGCTCAAAATATTCAAAGTGATTAATTAAATTGTGGTTGAATTTGGGCATTAAATGTTCATAATAAGGTAATGACTTTCTTCTAGCTATGCTCATATGGTAGACTTCCATCAATTGTAATCTTTAAAATCTTAATTCTAACATGTGTATTCTATGTTTAATGAAACTAGTAATACCCTAACCCTTTTATTTTAATATCCTAATGCTAATCAATGTGGGAGAAACTTGAACGTTCTATTTAATTTATTAATATTTTTTTAGTGGATGATGATTTATATTAATACTTTTAATGATTATTTTAACTTATAAATTTGAAAATTTACCATATGGACCGCTTAGAAAACTTCTTTATCTCATTCACCACGTAACGTATTCGAAGAACTTTCAATCATAACATTTTGCTCTCTCATGTATCTGCAATCAAATGTTGAGGTCATTTGTCAATTAGTGTTATAGTATTATCATCGTGAATTTAATTGTTTTCAATAATTTTTTCAAAAAAACATATAGAATTTTCTTTAATAAATTATTATAATTTGAACATTAATAAAAAATAAGATCAAAAGAGTAAAAATATAGTATAAGAAAAATTATAAGCAATTCCAATAAGCAATGGATAAAGAATTCTATACGTACAATAGACTATATTATTATTTGATATTTTTTTTCAAAATTTGAAGTTTATGCACCAGCAATACAGGTCAAATATACACATTAATCTTGATGCTATAAAAATAATTAGACTATTAGTGGATATCACCAATATTTTAAACATAATTAATGGTTGCAGGTAATTTTTTCAATCAATTGACTATGTGGGATTTAGAAGCTAATTACTTATACACACTTTATGTAACACCGTAACTATTAGTACATGTGATGCTAGGTTGATGTCGGAAAAATTGAAAATGAGGATATAAATCAGCATTTTCTTAAAGAAATGTATATAAAAGTATTTGATGTGTAAAAACCAAGTTCTAGGCCAAGGAAAGTCTTAACACAAAGTTTGAGCTAAAGGTTCATTGTGACAAAGTGTCCCAAAACAGTTTCATATATTGTTTATCTTTGAAGTTTGAACAAGCATCCCTCAATCTACGAAGAGTTAGAGAATCTACAACATATCAAATGGAAGGTTTACGAGTTTTGTTTTCAACTCATTAACAATTTGTTGATATGATATCGAAGTAGAGAGATATTTGCATTTTAGTGAGACTAGGGTGGCCCCATAAGTCGATGGAAATTATGTTGGATATATATTACATTCCAGCTTCATTTTAACTCATTTTTTTGCCCAATTCAGAATACAAAACATTTCTAGACTTTCTCTAAGAGTTCCACTTCAATCAAATACAAACAAAAAAAAAAACTATAAGATTTCAAGGAGATTCCTCGCTAGAAATTTTGTAGAGGCTGTGTTACATGTTTCCTCATCTTTGCTTGTGGATTGAAAGATTCTTCAAGGAGAACGAGTCTCGGTTATACGGTGTCTTATTGTTATTTTGAGGTAATTATTCACTCTTCATATTTAGCTGAGTGAATCAAAATGATAGTTAAGCTATGTAATTTTAGACATACGATTAGACGAACGGAAAATCATATTTGGATTGTTATATGAAGTTAGGTTGCTTTAAGGGGTTATGGAATGTTGTTGTGGCCGAAAGGTTGGGGAATGATCTATATAGCTTGGGTTGTTGTTGATATTCAACTAGAAAAGAAGCATGAATGCTTGGAACTGCTGAGTTGTTAGTTAGGAACCAAGTTTTTTGCTCGATTAATTGTGTACTAGCAATCATTTAGTTAAATTTTAACGTGAGTTTTATTGTTGTTTAGATTAAAGTGTTGTAACTGGTAAGGTTTATCGTGTTGTCAATTTAACTGACCTAAAGGTATGTAACGACCTTCTTAATTTTGATTTGGCGTAAATGTTTTGT